TGTTCCGAGGGAAAGTGTTTGCAACGAGTGAAGATCGAATTATGGGGAAGCTAGAGTGGCGTGAAGAGGAAGAAAAACGGTGATCAGCCGATCGTGAGTCTCGAAACGATTCCTTTTTCGCGTGACTGCCCGTTCGTTCTCGCTTTTCTTTTTTTTACTTCGCGATGCAAACGAGCCCGATGATCGTTCGTCACGTATAGATTGTACTACACGTGTTGTTAGATTCGGTGGTTCGCGGTTACGCAACCGAAACGGGGTATAACATAATGTACGATTACGACGTGTTTCACTAGATTCGTAATTAGTAGGCGTGTGTACGTGGTCGGTGTATTAACGAGTGTTTGTTGTGTGTCGTGCGGTATATTCCAACGAATAGTTTGTGCCGTGTGGTATACATATACTAATGGTGGCCAAACCTCCTCGTCAGAATAGGAACAGTATGCGCCGGTGATTACGAAAGTGGTGTAAGTCAAAAAAATAAAAATATTTAGTTTCTTCTTTATTCTATGTTACATCGATGTATGTGTGTTTCGATATTATGGAAGACTGTTCGAAACGTAAAATACGTGACGTACACCACTTTCATACTCTATCCAAACGGTATTAAATTGTGAATTACGCTTACAATCTGTGTGTGTATCACACTGCATAATGAAATCAGCAAACTTACAAAAATACTATATTACGTACGTGTATGTAGCATGTGTCGAGTTTATACAAAAATATTGCATAATGGAAGTTGTAGTTTGGCCACTGTGGGTATTTAACTAAACAGCTGTTGAAATTGCTGACCAACAAAACAGCTGTTTAAATTGCAATTTTTAAATTTATAATTTACATTTCTTGCCTAATGGTCATTCACTGGTATGCAGTCAATTACTGGTTGGTTTACTCTACCATCGAATGTTGTGTGAGTGTGTATGTGTGTCATTTCGTGGTCGAGCCGCGTGGATCTACGGCCGGGGACCTTCAGTCTTAATCTTATCGCGAAAGAGCTGTTAGGGGACCTCGTGTTTGCACCGCGGAAACTGACCTCGAGGATCATTTCAGCGTTCGTCGTCCGGCGACACGTTCCAGGTGCGTTAATTAATTCTTTCGAAACAATGAGAAGCTGGAATTCCGCGACCATGGGATCATAAACACACTCTGTCGATGTGTGTGTACGCTTGTGTCACTTAGGTGGTTCCGCCGCGTACCGTGAGGATCGAGTAAATAACGGGGGGATCGACGTTGCCAGACCCTGTCCGCGACTCTTCTCGCCTGGCTGACCAGCAAAATTATGTAAAAACCGTCAATTTCTTTCATCCGTGTCTCAATGGATTTTCTTTCTGTTTATCATAAACTACCAACGATATTCTGATCCACCTGACAGCCCGAACCATCATGGCTGCGTAGTAATTTACGAACGAATCGTGTGCACCTGACGTTTTAGAAAGTCTTCGTCGGTTTTAGAAAGCGTTTAAAAGGGTTTTGCATCCACACTGCACGCCGGGTCCTCGTTGATCGAAACAGGATGACGTCTTTTCTTCTCGTTGGGAAGCGTGTGCAACCGAGAAGACGAACGTAATCGGATTACCGGGAGCAGTTTTCCGCGCTGCACAGTGTTACCATTGTACATATCCCCCTCTCCTCTCTATGGAGCGTCGAGGACTCGCAGTGATTCCGTTAGGCCACGAAAAAAAAAGAAAAGAAAGAACACATGGACGAAGAACGTGTGCTCCCAATTAACACAGTTGCCTCGTCTCGCGTGGAAAGAGAGAATAACGAGAGATCGCTGGGTGGTGTAGGCGGCTCGAATTGCCGCGAATTAAGGCCTAATGGGAATCAAGTTATGCTTGGCCTTTTGGCTCGTCAACCGTGCGTACAGCCGCGACGCGTCGATTTCGAACCTGTACGTGTCCGTCAGTCTTACTACAATATTAACATAACGCGACGGCGTCGTCGTTGCTCCATCGATAATATTATTTCTCTAGTGGGTGACCTCGACGACCCTGACATTTTCCGTCGATCGATATAACGACCGTTTCGCTGGTATATCGATATTGATTCTCTCTGTTTATTAAACGCGCCAGTTGTATCGTTTCGTTTTATTTTGCCTTAAAGAATCACCCCTTACATTTTTTCCCACTAGTAGTCGAACACCCTGTATATATCTCGGAAACTAAGCGCACTGGGTGCTACATGTTCAGGAAAAAGTTGTTCGAAAAGTTGAGTTCAATAACAGTATGATTCCGTATAATTTCCCACGCTTTTTAAAACAAAAATGATAAAGGTACTTGTTGGTCCTCTCCTGTTTCACGTTTCGTTTTCGTTACCACCTGGGGTCCTTCTCAGTACCGAGGAGCCTACGAACACTCATCGAGGATTTTCTGTATCATACGGACCGATAGATGCCGATGTTTTGAGTCGTAAAAAATAAGCGATTTGCGACGTGCCCCCCCTCCCTCTTCAGGAAGTAGTGAAGAGCAATACTGTGGTGGTAACCCAGTTCTCAGAGCCGCGAGCCTCGTTCAACAGGGTCGCCCCCCGGTGAACGCACTCTATTACCACCGGTTCTCCAACGACTTCTCTCTCAGCCGGCCAATATACTATTATTAGGAACGCGTTAATCTGTGCGGCGGTGGGTAACGAGAATATTCGGTCACCGGGAGAAGAGGTAGCCCGTGTTTTCCCGTGGTCCTCGTTATGATCGTGGCGATCCACGGAATACACACTTGTCCGTGGTTCTTCGCCGATATAATCGCACGGGAAGTTTTTTCGTTCGTGTTAAATGGATTCGCCAGATTCGACGGTGAGTAATCCGTTAGCATATGTAGGAAGTGACGAGTGTTGTGAACGTTGTACATTGGAAAATTTACGACACTTTTTAGATTCGGAATATTCTTGGTAGTGACGAATGTTTATATTGTGTTTCCAGTTCTTCGGTGGTGTGTGTTTATTTATGGGGTCATGCCACGGGGAAACGGACACTTTTTCGAGTAACATTTCGGATTTTGCTGGAACTTGGATATATTGTGGTGTTTAGTGATATATATAGTAAATGCATCTCGAAGGATTTTTGAAAATTTAAAAATTGTTGATTCCACAAAAGATCTTTTCAAAGATTATAACCGTTGAACTAACACACTGATCGAAATGAGCTATTGATAATGATTAATAT